TTGTCACTGGCTCCACCATGTTCAAGTCCATTGTTGCAGTCACTGAGTTAATTCATCTTGATGAAGGTCTTCTCTTTCTCTTACCCTCCATGAGGTCTTTTCCAGCATGGTGTCTTTTTACAAGAACTAGCCCACCTGACAACATGCCCAAAGTATTTGAGATGAAATTTAACCACCTTGCCTCTCTGCCTAAAGAGCACTGTGGAGCGCTGAGTACCCCACCCGCTTTCTCTGCAGAATCGCCATGGCAGCTGGGACCCTGTATATATACCCCGAAAATTGGAGGGCCTTCACATGCCCTCATTACTGCTCAATACAGCGGGGTTCAAGTCCATGTGTTCTCCACACCACCCTACTTTCACTTTGGCCAAACCAACTATATCCCAGAGTTTCTCTATAAATTTTTAGCCTGCGAGTTTGAGGGTAGTGATAGAGTCTGTGTGTTTGAGAGCAAAGCCAGTTCCTGTTACGTGAGCAGTGACGAGCTGTGGGGAAGTACCCCAGAGACAACAGCAGGGGGGTGGGTGAGCTGTGCTGATAGCATTATCGTCCCCCCCACCCCCAGACCACACTTGGGCATCATACACCACCATAAGCAGGCTACAGAGCCTGCCAAGAAGGAGTTGAAACAAAATCTGGGCCTCTTGAATGCTCTCTTGAAAACAAGAACTTTCCTGATAGGTAAACATGTAAGCCTGGCTGACATCATAGTTGTCTTGTATGCTTTCATGACTCTATAGATAGGTGCAAGAACCTTCTTTTTGTCAGGCCTTCCCCAATACCAACTGCTGGTTCCTCACCTGCATTAATCAGTCCTGGGTTGTCCTAAGGGAGGTGAAATTCTGTGATAAGAAGGCCCAATTTGATACTAAAAAGTTTGCATAGAGTCAGCCTTAAAAAGACATCTCACAGAAAGAGAAAGGATAATGGGAGGAGAAGCAGAAGGCCCGGGCTGAACAGAAGGAAGAAAAAGAGGCAGCAGCTACTCATGTTCCCGAGGACGAGATGGACGAAAGTGAGTAGGTGCAGGCTGCTGAACCAGAGGCCAGAGACCGCTTTGCTCTCCTGCCCAGAAGCACCTTTGTGTTGGGCGAGTGAGTGTAAGCACGAGTACTCAAATGAGGACAGTTTCTGGGGCCCTGTCTCATTCTGGGGAGAACTTTGATGAGGATGGCTGGTCCTTGTGATATACTGCGGCCCACTTCCCTGAAGAGCTCACCCAGATCTTCGTGAGTTGCAGCCTAACCACTGGAATGTTTCAGCAATTGAGTAGACTGAGGAAGAATGCCTTGGGCAGTGCCAAAGTCTTTGAAACCAACAGCAGCGGCTCCATTTTTTGGAGTCTGAGTCTTGAGAGGCCAAGAACTTGCTTTCCCACTGAGTCCATATTGGCAGGTGAATCACGAATCATACATATGGCAGAAACTGGATCCTGGCCGTGAGGACACCTAGACGCTGGTTCTAGAGTACTGAGGATTTCCAGTATATGGGCAAAGCCTTCAACCAGAACAAGAGCTTCAAGTGAGCAAACAGCTTGTCACCTGGAGTATAGAAGTCATTGAAGAAAAATGAACATTTAAAAAAAAAAAAGGCATTCCATTTGCAGTTCTTCTAAGACAGAGTTGTTGGTTCTTTTGACAATCTGTGTATTGGGTACTCTTCCCCAGCACCACAATTCAAAGGCATTGATTTTTCTGCTGTCATCCATATTTGTGGCCCAACTTTCAGAGGCATAGGAAGCAGTGGAAAATACCTCACTTGGATCCAGCACACTTTGGTCTTTAAACTGACATCATTGCTCTTTAGCACTGCATAGAGGTTCTTGACAGCAAATCTCCATGTAACACGTCTTTTGATTTCTTGACTGCCTCTATCATAGTTGCTGATTGTGGATCAAAGTAAAATGAAATCACTGATCATTTCAATCTTTTCTCCCATCAATCATGATGTTACCTATTGGTCCAGTGGTGAGTGTTTTTGTTTTCCTGATGTTGCGGTGTAATCCATATTGAAACCTGATCTTCTGCACTAAGTGTCAAGTCTTTCTCACTTTTTGCAAGCAAAGTTCTGTCATCTACAGAACATAGGCTGTTGAAGTGTTCTGGAATTTCCATTATTATCAATGTTATCTATAATTAGTTATCATCCAATCAAAATCCTCCTGGTATTCTCTGCTTCTGTTAATATCCTTCTGACATCAGCAGTAATACTCTTCATGCCACAAGTTACCTTACCTGGAAGTTACATCATTTTGTTTTTGTTCTAGTTGTTTTACAATAAACTTCAGCAATATTTTACTTGCATATGATATTTTTCAATTATTTCAGCATTCTGTTGAATCATTTTTGGGGGGAACGGGTGGTTGCTGATGTTGTGTACCATCAAGTCGGAACCATAGCTGACCCACTGTCAGGTTGGACTGGTCACTGTTCCAGATTTCTTGGCATAGGCTAGGAGCAGATCCAGGGCTCAGTGGGTATTCCATCAATTCCTAGGGCCTTCCCCCCCCCCCCAATGCTTTCTATGCAGCTTGGATTTACTCCTTCAGTACCCCTGGTTCTGAGCATATTGGTTCTTGATCATATGCTGCTTCCTGAACTGGTTCTGTGTTGACCAATTCTATTTGGTACAATGACTCTGTATTGTTTACATCTTCTGCTACTTCCTTCACATCATTCATGATTTCACACATAGAATCCTTCAGTATTACAGGTTGAGACTTGTTCTTAAGTTCTTTTGCTGAGAGTGTTCTTCCCTTTTGGTTTTCTAACTGCATCTCTTTGCACATTTCATTATAGTACTTTGCTTTGTCTTCTTCAGTAGTACCCTTTGAAATCTTCTGTTCAGCTCTCTTAAAAAAAAAAGGCATTTCTTCCTTTTGTTTTGTCCTGTCTGTGTTCTAGTGCATCTGTTCTGATGTCCATTTTGTTCTTTCTTCGTGTCTTTATAATGACCTTCTGTTTTCTTCATGGATGATGTCCTTGATGTCATCCCACACCTCATCTGGTCTTCATTCATTAGTGTTGAGTGCATCAGCTCTAGCCTTGAGATAGTCTTTAAGTGTTTTGGGGGATAGATTCAAGGTTTTATCTCGGTTTTGTGGATTTGTTTTTTACTTCTTCACCTTCAGTTTGAACTTGCATCAGAGTAGTTGATGGTCTGTTCTACAGTCTGACCATCTTGACCTTGTTTCGACTGCTGATCTAGAGCTTTTCCAACATCTTTTTCCACAGATGTTGTCAATCTGATTCCTGTATAGTCCATCAGGTGAGGTCCATTTGTATAATTGGAGTTATGTTTTTATAAAAGTTATTTGCAATGAATAAACCATCTTGTGTAATTCCAAAATGTATGCTGTTGTTGTTTTTAGGTGTCATTGAGTAGACTATAGCTCCTGGTGATTATGAACAGCGGTTCTAACCCTTTCCCTATTCCATGCCATTGTCATGATCTCCACTGTGCCAGTCCACTTTGTTGAGAGTCTTTCTCTCTTTCTCTGAGCCACTGCCTTTCCCAGCATGTCTTTTCCCCAGAAGTAGCCCCTCCTGACGACATGCTCAAAGTATGTGCGACCAAGTTTCACCATCTTTGCCTCTAAGGAGCACTGGCTATACTGCCTCCATGATAAATGTTTTGTTCTTTTGACAGTCCACAGTATAGTCAATACTATTCTCCAATATCACAGTGCGACACATCATTTGTTCTTCAGTGTTCTTTCCAAAATTATACAGCCACTTTGGAAACAATTGGCAATTACCATAGTGCTCAACAGTTTTACTCCTATATATTGATCCAAGAGAAATAAGAATATACAACTAATAAAAAGTTATACAGATATCCTTATAGTGACTTTATGATTCATAATTGCCCTAAATTGGGAATTCAAATACCCAACACTTGGTGAATCGATAAACTATTATATGTACTCAGCAATGAATAGACTACTAGTGCTTGTCACTATGTTAACTTCAGAGGCATCACGTTAGATGAAATAAATGAGATGCAAAATTGTGCCTACTGCATAATTCCATTTCCAAAACAGTCTGCAAAAGGAAAATTATAGAAACAGAAAACAGGATTGATTGTCAGGAGAACAGGGTTGGGGAATTGACCGAAAGGAGAATGCAGGAACTACTGAGGGGTTATAGTCTCGTTCTACAAGAGGACTGGTTGAAAGCACACAATTGTTAGCAGTTTCCCAAATTCCTATATTAATATCATTAAAAGAGTGAAATTTTGTACATAAATGTTACTTTAAAAAATGTAACTGTAAACAAAGGTGAGACTGACTATTCCTCTCAGAGTGCTGCATTGGCACTGCTTCTGAAAGTACCCTGTCTTCCACTCAGCTACCCCTCCATCCCTGCTGTCCAAGGTGACCTTTGCACTGATGGATCACTATCTGACTTCTGGGCCTTCCACAAAGGCCATCTTCTTAACTTTTCTGTTCATCCTGTCCAAATTAAAATCACAACAATTTTTAAATTCCTCCCTGCTTTGCTTTTTCTCTGGTACTTCTAACTGCTTGCCATACTGATTTGGTTTTTTACCTATTTTTATTTTATTGTAGAATAAAGTTATGTACACCCTAGAAGCAAGGGAGCTTTTGTTTTATTTTGTTGTTGTTGTTCTAGCACATAGTATCTGACACTCAGTAGGTACTCAAAAACTGCTTTTGAAGGAATCAATGAATAGATAAATTATTAGTGTATTATTGCATTCTTCATGCATCCCCATTGTCACCCCTTCAGCACATACATGCATGTAGAATGCACAAACATTCCAGGTGAATGCTCAATTTGTGTGTCTTTTTCTCTAGGTAGACTTTCAAGGGGGAAGTCCTAGCCTCCATAGTGTTCCTTCCCTCTGCCCTTTCTCCCAGCTCTCACACCTGCTCCATCTTCCCTACCACACAGTGTCAGCCTCCACTTGTTCCCATAATGGGAGCTCTAGGATGCCCACTAATCCTTGTCTCTTCTTCACACCACTGCCTGTCCCAGCGGGGACCAAGCAGCACCAGTGTGATGCTGAACTGAGGAAGGAAATTGCTTCTGTGTGGGCCACCTTACCCCAGAAGACCCTGGACTTGCTGGTGCCCCCCCATAAACGTGAGTGAGAGACTGAGCATGTCCTGTGCAGAGGCCAAGCAAGAAGAGCCAGGGACATGGTGGGAAGAAGGCTAGTACAGGCCCTTATGCTAGGGTTGCTACAAGGAGGGACTCTGAACATGCCAGAATAAATGAGATTCTTACAGGTTATAAGGCTGGCTTCTCTTTCTAGTCAGGAGACTGAGGCAGGACCTCCTATGATGAGTTAGGGCATCCTCATGAACAGGTGGGCAGCTGGGGTGGTCACTGGGGAAAGCCATCCTCCTGGTTGCCCTTCAGGGACTTTCCAGTAACCTGTTGATGGGGGGTACCGCATCCACCCCTTCCAACTCCAAGTGCCTGCTCCTCTCTCCAGCCGATGAGATGACAGTGGGGAAAGTCTACGCAGCTTTGATGATATTTGACTTCTACAAACAGAACAAAACCACCAGAGACCAGATCCACCAAACTCCTGGAGGCCTGTCCCAGGTACTGGGCTCCTGGGGCTCGAAAGAAGTGGCCCCAAGACTCCCTAGCTTGGTAGTTGGGGGAAGCCCTCAGCTCTTCTTGGAGAAGGAAAATGTGAGGTTCTTGACCTCTGAGTCAGAGAGCCCACACAAACTTTGTGTGGACCGCTGGCTCCTCCTTGCCCCACAGTATTGATGCACCCTGACCTGGAGAGCTAGTATTCAGAGTCAGAAGGTCAAGGGGCTGAGAACAGAGGAAGCAGGTGTCAAGTTTACCAGAGTAAGGCTGTTTGGGAAAATAGAAGTTGAATCTGTCTTCACATACAAGCACGGACCAGAGAGTTACCCTGACTGTGCCTAGAACTATGCTTTGTTCTGGTGAGACATTGGGATGGGGGAGGGGCCAGTCTTCCTGAAGTTACCACTAAAGACCACAGTCCTAACCAGCTTCATCATCTTCCTAGGGTCCTTTAGAGATTTTTTTTTTTCTGAGATTCTTTACTCGAAAACTCACTCCATTCTAAGCACTTAAAGGGGCCACCACCTAGCCTTGGCAGGGAAGCGGCAGGCACTCATGCTGCCGTGCTCCACTTCCACATCTGGTGCAGACACTCTTAACCCATCACAACCATTTCCCCAGTCTTGAGTATCAAGATTTGGCTCAGCCTAGACTTCCAGAAAGCTTCTACCATTCAAAGTGGCTGTGAAATAATGTCTCTCCCGTCTATAATCTGGTCAAGACCTGTGATTCTGTAGATAAGGACACACATTTTGAGAAGTGGGAGGGCTTTCCTGGAGCCACTTCCTGGTGTGGAGGTGCAGTTGCTGCAGAACCACTCACTCCTTACCTGCCTCCCATTCTGGTCTCTGAAGGGAGGTGTGTCCATGTTAGAGATGGGGTGGGAGCAAGGAAGGTATTGGAGCTCCTTGGAACTGGTTTACATTGAGGGACAAGAACGTTAGGGCGGACACTGGCTACTCTGAACAAGCTGGGCCCCATATGCATGGCTGCTGGAGTGTGGCCACAGGGTCTTTCCCTTTCCTTTGATTTCTTCCTCTGTCTGACCTTTACAGATGGGCCCTGTGTCCCTGTTCCACCCTTTGAAAGCCACCCTGGAGCAGACACAGCCAGCTGTGCTTCGAGGAGCCAGAGTCTTCCTTCGGCAGAAGAGCTCTGCCTCCCTCAGCAATGGGGGTGCTGTGTGAGTATGGAGATGGCACAGTGGGCTGAGGGGGAGGGGTGTCACTCTGGAAGTGAAAGTCCCCTTGACCTGTTTAGTTTGGCTTTCTTTGTACTGGCCTGAGTTCCTCAGTAGCTATCAGGTAGGTCCTCCAAGACCCCAGTGCACTACGTAAACTCCCAGGGATGTTTGTTTATGTAATTGGATTTGGTGTCTCAGACCACTAAGAAATTGTTTTCACCCAGAATTAGTGCCCCAATCAGTTAATGTCTTTTTAATCTTCTTCTAATATTTTTCTTATAAAACATCCTCCCTCACACTTCTATTGCATTGATTTCTGGAGCTATTGTCTCTTAAACATGAATTAGTAAATCCTTAGATATTAGTTAATGCTCTTGCCGTGATAATTTTGCATAGCAAACTAGCCCCTGTCATCTGCGTTCTTACAGCATGTATTTCTTACCTGTGGCCTGTGGGTGGACAGAGATGGGGAATTTTAAGGTGTGTGAAGTAGATGATGCCTGTGACTTTGGCAGAAGGAGGGAATGGAGGTGCAATGTGAGAGGTGAACCCACGCCCAGCCCTATGGGACAGGACCCCCAGGTTGGGGCACGAGCCATGGGTGCTTGCCCAGCCTTTGCCTGTGTCACATCATGTTTCCAGACATCCTTCTGAGAAAGGCATGTTGTAGGCTGAGAAGAAAGCAGGTCCACAAGGCTTTTCTGCCACTGGTGGAAGAGGATCCAGCACCAATTGATCCTCTCAATTTGTAGTGTGTTTCAGGAATTTTCTTGGTGAAAGAATTGATACCTTTGAGTTGTGGTGCTGGAGAAAAGTACTGACTATTGTATGAACCACTAGGAGAACAAACAGACCTGTCCTGGAGAATGTGAAACCAGATTACTGCTTAGAGGAAAGGATGATGAAACTCCATCTCACATACTCTGGGCATGTTGTCATGAGTTGGCTAGACCTTGGGAAGGACATCATGCTTTGGAAAGGTGGAGGGTTAGTGCAATCCACTCAACAAGATGGATTCACATAGTGACTGTAGCAAAGGGATCACTTGTGTCAGAGATGGTGAGTCTGGCTTAGGATAGGGCAAGGTTCAGAGCCATTTTTCTATAGAGTCACTGTACCAGAAAGAATTGGCTGCCCAGAAGAAGTTCATGAAATAACATATGCTCAAGAGGCAATGGTGATGAAGAAGTTCAAACTGCTTTGAAAGAATTGGGGGAAAAAATATCAAAACAACAAAAACCAAAGCCTCAGAAATTAATTGAATACCAATTGACGTATTTCAATAATTAGATGCTGCCCAGGGTGCATTCACCAGGTTATGTTAAGAAATCTGGAAGACAACCACCTATCCAGCCTCCTGGAAGGGATCCATATTTATTCCCATACCAGAAAAAAAAAATCCAACTGAGTGTGGAAATTCTTAAATAGTATCACTAATACCACACACAAGCAAAATCATACTTATTAGAAAGAAACTACTGGAACAGTATATTAACAGAGAACCAGCAGAAAGATAAGTTAGATTTAGAGAGATCATGACAGTAGGGATATTATAGCCAGTGTCAAATAGATCTTGGCTGAAAGCAGAGAGTACCAGAGGAATGTCTACTTGTGTTTCATTGACTATGCAAAGGCATTTGATTGACTGTATGGATTGCAACAAATTGTGGCTAACTCTGAGATGAATGGAAATCCAGAATGTTTATGTGCTTTCTGAATGATTATGCTTCTGTGAAACTTATACTTGGACCAGGAATTAATCATCAGAACAGAGCAAGGAGACACTGCATCATTCAAAACTTGGAAAGGAGTACATCAGGAATGCATTCTGCCTCCATACCTTTTCAATCTATATGAGGAACAGGTCATTCAGGAGGTTGGACCTTAGGAGGAGGAATGTGCCATCAAGATTGGAGGAAGACTCATCAACAACCTGCATTATGCAGATGACAGCATTGCTTGCCGGAACTGAGTAGGACCTGAAGTGCTTGCTGCAGAAGGTCAAGGACTGCAGTCTTCAATATGGATCGAAGCCCAACATCAAGACGACAATGGTGTAATTGCTGTTAAACCTCCTGAGGCTGGAGACTTCGGGGTGGTTTGATCAACATGCCTAAGTCTGGAAACAGGAGAATGGCTTATCATGGCCTCTTGCCCTCCAGTGACCATCTGGTCTAAGGCAGGTGCTACTGTCGACATTTCTGAAGCAGCAAGATGAGACTGAGGACAGACACGTTCTGGCTGGAGTAAGCCGTGTGGCCAAGCAGTATTCAAAGGCCACAATGGGCAGACAGAGGTGGGACCATTTCTACAGTGACTCAATGCCTCATAAAAACAACGTAAGCTCTGAGAGCATGATTAAGACTGTGAGCATGCTCTTGTGAGAAAATAGCTGTGAAAAGTTATGTATCCTGGGACTGAGCTTGTCAGTATGGGCTGGGAACTCTTCTTAGGGTCATACGTCCTTTCTGGTTGTGAGGGTCCTGTTTTGCATTTGAAGGTAAGGTGGTTGGATGTCTGTGTGATTGGGTGTGTATGAGATGCAGAGTGTGGGTGTGACTGTTGTCCTGTATGAGTGTGTGTTTCTCTGTGTGAGGTGTGATGTTTGTGTAAATCTGTGAGTGTGTGTGTCTCTGTGTGAGGGTAAGTGGGGGTTTGTTCAAGTCTGTGAGTGTGTGTCTCTGTGTGAGGTTAAGTAGAGGTTTGTGTAAGTCTGTGAGTGCGTGTGTCTCTTGCAGGGTCATGTGGGTTCTGAGCTGTGTTTTTTAGTTTAGGGAAATGCACTTCAGGCCCTTCCTCAGAACATTTACAGAGTCAGTTACAACCCTTTATTGCAAATAAGAGAACACCTAGTCAGATATTGTTGTCAGAGAGCAGCAAGTTAACTACCCAATGAACAACAGATCGGTACCCTGGCCGGTCTTGTACCTTTCTCACCATCTCTGATATTCTTGAGTCCATTGTGAGTCATTGTATCAAGCCATCTGGTTGAAGGCCATCCTCTCTCACAGAGGGGTCCAGGCACTAGGGGCCTTTCTCAACCTCTGTGACTGGACAGTGGAATGCACACTTGGTTCTTTGCACCGTGAGGGGAGGTCCAGCTCCTGCCCAGGCACCACTTCCCTGGGGACACAAGCATGCTTTCAGAAGCCCACATATCATACCAGTCTCACTGTCACCTCTCCCTCCACTAAGCTACCCCTCTGTGACCACGGGTTTTCCTGTGCTGCTTGTAACAAAGGTTTAAGGGATACTGTCTGTGGGTGGAACTCTGAGAGAGCAAGTCACCCTTGCAAGGAGGGTTGGGCATGAGTCAGAGTCTGTAAAATGGAAGTATTAAGGGGGGATAGAGGGGGCAGGGAGTGGAGGGTTAAGAGAGATTTAAGTGTTTGCAGTCCTTTGAGTGGGGAAATCAGAGAGGTAGGGAGGGGCTGTTAGTGTAAAGGTGAGGTAGGGAGCCATGGGAGGGAAGGAGCCATGAGAGAGTTGGATAGCAGGGCAGAAGGCATCGGGCAGGCTCCTCCCTGGCCCCACACCCACAGCCCCCTATGCAGGTGAGCGCAGGTCCCTGAGCGTTGGAGTGGGGTGAACCTAGCGTTAAGCCTGCCTGGGGACCGGACCAGTTTGACTGGAAAGTCACAACAGATCAGGGTGGCAGGTGGGGCCAGTGGACCAGGCCATTTCTGGGCAAGCATGCCATGGCCAAATGTTTGGCTTAAATGGGTCTTTCTTCCACAGGCAGACACAAGGAGGTGGCCTCAAAGAGTCCGTCTCCTGGGGCACTCACCGGACCCAGGGGCTGACTTCTGAGGCTCGGACATCCCTGGAGCGGGGCCACTCTGCAGAAATTCCTGTGGTCGAGCCAGGAAAACCAGTGAGGACTCCCCGGGTCCTAGGATGGGCCTGAGCTGTGGGGGCTGATAAGTCATCAATCACTTGAGGGGTGACTGGGAGGGCGGGGCTGTGTGGGATGACCAGTGACCACTATCACCCCCAGGCTGTGGATGTACAGATGCAGAACATGGCTCTGAGTGGCCCCACCAGGGAGCCCCAGGTGGGGCTGGAGAGTCAGGGCCGAGCAGCCTCCATGCCCCGCCTCGCAGCTGAGACACAGGTGTGTGGTCAGGGGTCAGGGTTGAGGATGGAGGGGATACAACCTGGGTGTGGGTGATGACTAGGTCCCTATCACCTGGTGGACCTCCAGAGGCCTCGTGCACCTGAGTCTGTACTCTGTCACCATCACAGAACGCTGGCCCACACTTTCCCTACCTTATACTGCTGTCACTGCCTGACCTTACCCCTGCCAGCCAGATGACCTCAGACAAGACCAAGTCAAGGCCTCCTGCCCTGGAATTGGGTTGTAGGTGCAGAGTGGTCCCTGCCTTGTGGTCATGCCCCGCCCTGCCTCTGCCTCTTCTCTGCCCTTTTGTCACCCCACTGGGTGCACATACTCCTAGAGTTCTTGTCCACCTAGAGGCCTTGCACCAGGATGCAAGGACAGGAGAGGTGGACAGGCTGACCCTGGCCTTGCTCCTGTACCCAGCCTGGACCTGCTAACAGCTCTACTGGCCCTGTATCCTGACTGCAGGGCGCCCCAGACTCCAGTCCCATGAAACGCTCCATCTCCACCCTGGCCCCCCAGCGTCCCCCTGGGACTCTGCTCTGCAACACCACCCTGGACCGAGCCCCGGTCAGCCAAACTGCACACCACCATCACCACCGCTGCCACCGGCGACGGGAAAGGAAGCAGAAGTCCCTGGACAAGGGACCCAGCCTGCCTTCAGACCCCGATGGTGTGTGGAGTTCTGCCCTAGGTGGTGGGGGTGGCTCCAGCACCAGTCTGCAGTTCTGGTACTGGCTGGAGCTCAAAGGCTGTGCATGTCCCTGGGAAGTGGCTCTGGGCCTGAAGTTGAGTCCGTTTTCTCTGCTGGCCTTGGGCCTCCTCTGCTGATCTCCTTGGGGCTCTTCTGATACCCCAGTTCTGGTGCTGACACCCGAACCCTGTACTGTTCCATCCCATTACTGACCCATTCTTTTTGATCCTGTATCCCTGTACTCACCCCACCCCTGTACTGACCTCCTTATTTCCTTTACTGACCCCCCCATCTCTGTATTGATCTCCCATCCCTGTATTGACCCCTTCTGTCCTTGTCCTAATGTACTGATCCCTCAGTCCCTGTACTGACTCCTACATCCTTGAACCTAATTTCTGTACTGACCCCATCCTTGTGTGTATTGATCTGCCTCCTGTAGCCCCAGGCAGCTCAGTGGGGCCCAACCGAGAGCGCAGGCAGGAGCGGGGGCGGTCCCAGGAACGCAGACAGCACTCTTCCTCATCCTCTGAGAAGCAGCGTTTCTACTCTTGTGACCGCTTCGGCAGCAGGGAGCCCGCGCCACCCAGACCCCCACTCGGTAGCCAGCCCACATCACCCACTGCTGCACCGGAGCCAGGGTCCCACAGGCAGGTAAGACAGGTGCAGCCGCCCAGCTTTCCTGTCCACCCCCACCTTGAACCGGGGCCTGGGAGCTTGGCAGTCCGACCCCTAGGACCCCACATGTCTCCATGCTTGTTCTCTAGGACCCAACCGTGAGATCTTGTTCACCAGAGGATGAGGCTCCAGACCTCACCTGTCTCTCCCACTTCTTTACCCTTCCCTGCTCTGGTCAGCAAGCCCTAAGTTCCTCCACTTCCTGTCTGGACTTGTGGCAGCCCTCCCTGATCTACCCCCTGGGCCTGACCCCAGCTGTCTCCCTGTTCTTCAACCCCGTCTGACTCCTCACTTTTCCTCACCTCAGGAACTGTCCTTACCCCTCCTGTCCCCTTTCCTTCCTCTCAGGCCTTTCCCCTCTCTTCTCCTCCCCTCCCATCCTCTCCCTTCACTTTCCTTTCCCTCCCTTTCCTTCCCCTTCTTTCCAGGACTGTCCTCACCCCTCCTTTCTTCTCCCCTCCCCTGCCCTCCCCCCTTCAGGACTGTCCTTTCTTCTTTCTTCTCTCTTCCCCTCTCCTCCTCTCCCCTCCCCTGCTCTCCCCTCCTCTCCCCTGCACTGCCCGACTCTCCCCTTTCCTGCTCTCCCCTCCCTTGCCCTCTCCTCCTTTCCCCTCTCCTGCCCTCCCCTCCTCTCTACTCCTCTCCCCTGCCTTCCCCTCCTCTGCCCACCCCTCCTATCCCCATCCCCACCTCCCCCTTTACCCTCCCCTTCTCTCCTCCCCTCCACTCTTCTCTCACTTCCTCTTCCCTCTCTTCTCCTCATCTCCCCTCCCTTCTCATCCTTCCTCTCCTCCCCTTTCCTCCCTCCTAGGTCTATGTTCTCCACTCCCTCTTCCTCCTTCCCCTCTCCTCCCCTCCATTCATCTTCCTTGCCCTCTCCTTACCTTGTGCCCCTCCCAAGCTCATCTCCTCTCCTGGCTCCCCTCCCTGAGTGTTCCTACCAGGCCTCTCCCTTCCCCTCCCCAACTTTCCCCTCCTGGATATCCTCCCTCTGGCCCCTCTCCTTTCCTGCCCTCCTCTCCCCTTCTGGGGCTGCACCAACCCTCTGACCTCTCCCCTCTAGTGACTGCTCCCATGTCACCCCTCTCCTCCCATCATCGCGGCCTACCTGATCTCATACTCCCTCATCCCTCACACCCCCTTCCATCTGCCCTTTGCGGTCTCTTCCCTTCTGTCTAAATCCTCTCCCCCATTACTCCCTCTCTCTGACCTGTCTCCCCTTTTCCTGCTCCCCTGTTCCTCCCTTGACCCCCTTCCATCTACGTACCTCCCTGCCCCCCATGCACTACAAATCTGTTTGTTCCATTTCCACATAGGGCTGTGGTTCAGTTAATGGGAGCCCCTTGCTGTCAACATCTGGTGCTAGCACCCCAGGCCGAGGTGGGCGGAGGCAACTCCCTCAGACCCCCCTGACCCCTCGACCCAGCATCACCTACAAGACAGCCAACTCGTCACCTGTTCACTTCACTGGAGTCCAGACCAGCGTCCCTGCCTTCTCCCCCGGCCGGCTCAGCCGCGGCCTTTCCGAGCACAACGCACTGCTCCAGAGAGACACCCTCAGCCAGCCCCTGGCACCCAGCTCCCGGACTGGCTCCGACCCCTACCTGGGGCAGCGTCTGGACAGTGAGGTTCCCCGATCCCCACCCGAGGACACACTCACCTTTGAGGAGGCCGTAGCCACCAACTCGGGCCGCTCCTCCAGAACTTCCTATGTGTCCTCCATGACCTCCCAGCCTCATCCTCTCCGTCGTGTGCCCAACGGCTACCACTGCACGTTGGGCCTCAGCACGGGCCCTACACCTGGAGGCCGGGTGCGGCACAGCTACCACCATCCCGACCAAGACGACTGGTGCTAGCGGGCCCAAGGCCAGCCCGCATGCCCCGCAGTGCCATGTGCTCCCACTGATGAGTTTTATCATCCATGCTGGCCAGGTCGGCTGAGAGAAGGGGCCCTGGGTCAGCACAGCCCTTGCAAAGGGATGAGCTGGGCCTAGCTGGCCAAACGCTGTTAGGAGGAAGGGCTAATAAGGTGCACAGAGGCCCCGGCCAGGCCACGGGTGGACGTTCCACTCAGTGTGGTAGGAGTGAGGCCATGAGCATTGTCTAGAGTGGCAGCTGGGATGTGCCAGGGTGGCCAGGCAACAGGGCCCTCCTCTGAAGAGGATTCTCACTGTTGACTGTGCTTTCTCGTCACAAGACATGTCACACTTGTCATTTCTATATTCATGATTTAGGAAAACCAGAAAGATGGGGAAGAGGACAGTAACAAATTAAAAATCCATGACGCCAATAGAAAGACCCTCCTTGTGTGTTTGTATGACTTGTGCAAGGAGGTCTTTGGGGAGGCCACCTGGCAAGCTGGATCCTAAGGGTCCACTCCTGTCCTGCTGCCAAGAAAAGTGCCTGAGCTGACACCCCACACCCACCGAGTTTCACTGAGTCCTGCAGGCAACAGAACATCCATTGTACACTCACCACAGTGAGAACTCCAGCTGGCCATGGTGGGCACATGCCACTGGAGTCAAGGTCCTCATACTCTCCTCCCAGGAGTGGGCAAGTGTCCAGGGCAGGGCACTGCTGGGAGTGGCACAGGCCCACCAACAACCAGGGTGAGCCAGATATGGCGAGGGCCAGGGTGTCCCCACGTCTGTGTCCAGTTCTCAGGGTTTGGGGCCCGAGTGAGTATGTGTGTGAGCACACATCCTTTTCCAGGCAGGCAGATGAGGGCCTGAGGGCCTTCTGTGCTGGTTGTGAGGGCAATTGAAGTGTAGTGAGAAGTACATGTGTTAAGGACTCCAGTAGTGAGACATGAGGCATAGACATGGGGGAGACAAGGCAGAGAAACTGACACCAGGCCTCACTAGCAGCTGACCTCCAGGCCCTGTCCAAGAGGTAACTGGCAAGCGCTGAGTCTCTCAGAGGCTCTTCAGCTGTGGAGACCTTAGGGCTTGGACTGGTAGAGGCCTGTGTGCTGCCACACTAAATTTCAGGCCATCTCTAATGGTGATTTTAATATTTTTATTGACTTTTACTCTGTCGCTCTTCTTAAAGAAGTGTGTGTGTGTGTGTGTGTGTGTGTGTTGTGTGTGTGTGTGTGAGAGAGAGAGAGCGCATGAGTGAGTGAGACAGCATGCTCAGGAGTGGGAAGGATGTGTGCAGACGCCATGGAAACCATGGGTCTGTGCAGCAGAAGACACAGGTGTTCAGTAGTAATGACACTTGAGGCCATCACCCACTCTGGACTCAGCACAAATGTGACCAAACCTTTTTATAGATGTTTCTATGTGGAGACACAGATCTGAAACTTGGCTGGCAACAGTGCATCCCTCTCTGTTACTGCAGAACAGAAGGGTGTGTGTTTCCCCGTGTCTTCTTGGGTCTGTGAGAATCACAGCCGCTTTCCAGGCTGTGTCGGGGAGAACCACTCTGCCATGGGGGCTTGTCTGATTCTTTAGGGTATTGAAATCTGTGGAGCCGAAGGATGAAGTGGAGGGGAGCTGCCACATCTGTCCCCCTGACTTTGGGTTTGTTTCTGTCTCTTCTTGAGCTACCATTTTCTTGAAATCTCATAGTGAGTTGCCAAATTTGAAATGCATCAACCAGTTCTCTGCATCTGGGATCAGTCAAGCAGTGGCTGTCGTTCAAACAAGTTTCGTGTGCATGTAAAATATATACATATATACATATACACATATACACACACGTATGTGCATGGAAATGTATATCTTCGTAATTTTGATACAATGTATTCTTTCTTTGTTAATTTTTAATTATATTTGATATAAATTGAAGGTTTGTTGCAAAACTTTATATTTAAGAACAGTGTTTAAAAAAACAGACAAGTCTCAACCATGCAACACAACTGGGACTTATTTGGAAAAAAAATCCTGTGCTTGACTAGTTTGCTGCCTGAGTAATATTTATCAGTCAAACTTTGGATTCCGCTATTGTTTCTACAATGAAATTTTGTATGAAGCAAAGTCCTTGGTTTAAAATAAAAACTTAGCAAAAAATCAAAACGAAAACCTCACCAGGCTGCTGGTGGTATGCATCAGGGTGGGGACTCTTGAGGTGGGCCCTGGCTCCAGGGATCATGTCATGTGGTGGTTGTTGTGGGCACAAGTCGGGCTCACGGTAAGGATGGTAGAAAATGAAAACTTGTGGAAGTTTGCCTTTGAGTCCTATTCATACGGCAAGACTAGACTCAAGTTAAGACCTGGAATTATGCCAAAACTGACATTTGATAAATTTGAATAATGCCTACTGGGATGAAGGTTGAGAATTGAATTGGATTTCAAGGTAGGATATGGTTGAAAGTTGGTTAAGGTTTGGGTCAGATAGGAATTGGGTGAGGTTTAGGTTGCTTTTCAGAATTTGTTTGTTTCAGAGTCCAAACGTTAGAAGGAGATGAGTTATGGCTAGGGTTAGAGGTGAGGCTATGATCAGGAATTAAAAATTTACATGTTAAGGAACCTCTGGTGGTCCTAGCGGCAAGAAGCTGCACTGCAATCCCAGAGGTACGTGGTTTGAATCCAGATGCTCTGCTGGAGAAGGAGGGGCAATCTCCTCCTGTACCTGTCAGATCTGATTTGATGGTACACACATAAAAATGAATAAAATAAAAATTAAAAAAATTTAAATGTTATAATAAGCATATAATGTTTATAAGGGTTAGCCTGTATAATAAGTATTGAAAAGAACAGTGTTTCTTTTTCATGTTTTTTAAAAAGAAGTCTCAACTATCTAGGGTTAGGGTGGGTGTTAAGAATTGCTTTAGCTTGAGTTTGGATAAGAGGTTAGTGTAGGAATAGGGTGTAATAGGATTCTAATGAAAATGTGAATCAGTGTTCTGGTTATGTATGAGAATGGACTCGGCAAATGATTCCGATTATGCCTCCCAGTATTGAGGTGGAGTTGGAATTTGGTTAAAGTTGAACTGATTCAAGAGAAGGCTGGTACTGAAAGCTACAGCTGAGCCCTCATCCCATTACCCAACTAGAGCTTCCTTAGGAAAGCAATAAAGTCATAAATCAATCAAGTCAACACAAATAAAGCTTAAATACGCAGATATAGATGAAAAGAACATTTTTTTCTTTCATGTTTCATTAAATTTCTATTTAATGAAGAGAGCTGTGCAGCCAACTCCAAGACCGCGCCCCTGAGATGATGCAGTAACCACCTGATGGTTCAAATAACCCCAAGCCAGGCAGTTAGAAGCCTCCAGCTGCTCTGTGGGAGAACGACAGGCAACCTCCTCCCGTACAATTTACAGTCTCTGAAAATCCACTGGAGGGTCAGCTAGCATTCGGTTCTGACTGATGGCACCTAACAACAACCACTGTCTTGGGAGAGAGATGAGCAGTTTCCTTCCGCGTGATTTCTAGTCTTGGAAGTCCAAGGGAGGGTCAGCTATGAGTCAATTTTGACTCAATTAGTTTTTATATTTAACTAAACTTGCTGTTTCATTTTATTTACTATTTATTCTTACATTAATATTTGTTCATGTTTTATCCTATAAGATACTTTTTTGTATACTTAATTTTCTTAATGCTATTTAAGATGTAATTTATAGTTATTTTAGATTTAATTTCATTTAATGTTTAATCTTAGTTAATATGTAATTAATTTAGCTTTACATTTTTTGCCCTTTGTTTTATATACTATTTTGTTTTACTGTTCTTTGATGTTGTAAAGTATAAGTAATTAACATTTCTATTTATGTTTTAATTCATTTTATTGAGTATTTAATTAATGATATTTAGTTTGGTTTAGTTTTATTTTATTAAATACTTTCACTTACTTTTATTTCATATAATAAATAGTTGTTTGATATTTTCATATATAGTGTTTAACTCAGCTACATTTTATATTTTGTTCCATTTTATCTTATTTTAGTTTACTTAATTTGTTAATTAATTTATGTTTATTTCCTACTTTTTATCTATTTTATATTTTTTTTGCTTAATGTTTCATTTCATATTTAACTTAGTTTCCGTTTGTTGTGTCGTGTTTCCATCCATCACAATTGGGTCTTGCAGAAGACATTTCCATAAGCTGAGATTAATTAGTTCTTTTTAAATTGTCACTAGGTCACCAGAACATGTCAAACGTGGCATTTTGCTCATCTGAAATGAGATCAGCTAACAGACAGATGTATTTACAAAGGATGGTTTCACTTTGTTTAAAGCTGAAGATTTTTAAAACTAGGATTTTGGAATAAAAATTCAAATGCACACCAATGTGACTGCAATACTACTCTCATTTAAGGTTGATGTGGAAACAGACTTTGTTGTTGTTGTATGCTGTGGAGTGAGAACCACCTCATAGCTGACCCAACAGTGGCTTTTCAGAGACTGTAAATCACAGGAGGAGATTGCCCATCTTTCTCCAGGGAAGGAGCTTGAGAATTCGAATTGATGGCCCTTGGGTGGACAGCGCAACTCCTTACTGCTAAGCCACCAGACGTGTGACTACTGAGCCTTCCGTGCTGGAGTCCAGGCTGTGCAGTGGGAGCTATCCTGCAGACCTTGTGTCAGTTTAGTTCTGAAGCAGCTAGGTCCTAGGGTGGTAGGACCCAGAAGTGGTGAGTCCCCCAGGTAATGGATGGATCCCTGGGGAACTGGGTCCCCATGGTTTGGTCACTAAGGTTGTGGGTCTCTGGGGTGATGGGTTCCCATGTGGCTCATTGCCTGGGAATGGGGTGGTGCTGGGCCTCGTGCTGGGTCTCCATGTCAGTGGGACCCCATATGGCTTAGTCTCTGAAAGGCAGGGTAGGGTGTGGTGGGGTGCAGAGGGTGCACGCTGGCTCCTTGTGGCTTACTCCCCTGAGGCAGAGGGTCCCTGGGGTGGCAGGGTT